CATAAAGAGACTGACTGAAGGTGCCCAGATGGGAGATCTGTGGCTAAAATAAACATATAATAACGAACTTCCTGTATTCTGAGCAAAAAGGAAAACAGAGAAGTTAGAATTCAAATTCATACTTTCTTTGGCAATATCACACAAGTCTGTTTTACTATTTGTACTTTCCTGGAGCATATTTTATATTTGGGCATAAAAAAAATACCACCCAGAGAAAATAAACAAATGGCCTCTAGGGTGAGGTGAAGGGGGTGAAGGAAGCAAAAGAATGCTAAACACAGCAAATTCTTAACAGAGAATAATCACTACAAACATGTTTTAATGGTGAGATTTCTTTTAGTCTCAAACTTTTCAGTTTATAGAAGCAAACTGGCAAAACATTTTAATTTCTATAAGAAAATATTTATCATCAGTATAAGCTAACCTGATTTTTATTTATTTCCAAGTTCTGAATTCATTGATCCAACAAATATTTAGGCACCTGCTAGACTCTGGGGATGCAATGAGGATCAGCTCCCTGTTTCATGGAATTTAGGTTATTAGAGTGGCTGACAATAAACAAATTGTCACATCAGTAAATGCAGCATTATACACTCATTTAATGCTATAAAGGAAAATTACACAATGTCTTGGGAGAGTTTAGTTTTCTGAACAGGCCTGGAGATGGTTTTCCTGAGGAGGGGTGACTGAGCTGCTGTCTGAAGGCAGATGGATTTAACCAGGGGCAAGTCACTCATCACTTGCCCTAATCTCTGGTTTTGACAATGTTGACAAAATCTGGTCTGAATTGCTATGAATACTCAAGGGTCTTTGAAAGGCAAGAATTTCAAAGATTATTATTTCAGACCTACTTCCAGAATACATTAGTTTCACTTTTAGTTTGAATCCATAGCATGGCAAACATCTGCTGAAAATACCTGCTGTCTCCATCTCTGAAATGTGCCAGCTGAGTCTAAACAAGACTCTCTGGTTACTTTCCAGATTCAAGAGCAAACATATTAATCTGTGTAAAGAACCAAATCTAAAATTAGGCCAAATCAGAGACCAATGAACTCTATGTATCAACTGCAGCAGACACTTGATAGGTTTTTTTCTGTTTTCAGAGAAATGTACTGGGGAAAAATATATAGAGAGGAAGCAGAAGCAAAAACAAAACAAAACAAAAACCAACCAACCAACAAATCCATTGCTAGAAGAGGTTTTAGAGACAACCTAGTCCCAGGCTTTCAACTGAGATAAAGAGCTGTCTCAGTTTTAGAAGTCTGCACACACTGGTAGTTGGTGGCAGAGCTGGACCTAGAATGCAGGGCTTCTGCCTGGACCCCAGTACCTTCCTATTACAAACAGGCTTTCCTGGCTGTCAAGCTCACAGCAGCCTCCCTAATCCAATGCAAATATATTAACTGGCCCCCAGTCAGGCCAGCTCTATTATGAGCAGACTACTTTAATTGTCCACTGAGGACAACTCAGCCAGGATATTTCAGTACCACTTAATAAACAGGCCAGACACTTTCAGTACACTAAGTGTACCCTGATGACTTGACTTGGAGACAGTACACAATCACCTCTCATAACTGGACTGGTAAAACTGAGTTTACTCACTACATAAACACATCTATTTCATTTTTTTGTGTCATTTTATATGAATATTTTATAATGAATAATTAAACAATGAAAAGTTTATCAACCAGCTTTATCTTGCTAACATAACATTAGAAGAAATAAGTATTTTTGTTCTCCAGTATGATGCACATAAAAATAATGCTAATTGTAACTAAACTGGACCCAGTACAACTTCTGGTCCTAATTAAAAGGTACAAATGCTAATTACAAATCACTTTAGTTATTAAGGCAGAATGCTATATAAACTATATGTGGCATTTTCTTAATATTCTGTGTTTCAGACAACCCCACAAAAACAACTAAAATGCACCAACATTCTTTTTAAAGATTTAAAAAGGAGCCTAAAACCTGGGCATGCACCCTGACCGGGAATCCAACCATAATCTCCTGGTTCATAGGTGGAGGTTCAATCACACTGGCCAGACTAAAGATTTTTAAAAATTGACTTTTAGAGAGAGAGGAAGGGAGAAGGAAAGAGGGAAACATCAATGTAAGAGTGAAACATTGATCGGGCATTGAGCCCACAAGCTGGGTATGTATCCCAACCTAGAATTGAACTGGCAACCCTTCAGTGCACAGGACGATACCCAACCAACTGAGTCAGAGCCACCAACAGTTTAAAAGTAAGTCAAAAGCCTAGATCACACTAATCTATATATATAAAAGCCTAATATGAAAATTGTCCCCTCAGGAGTTTGACCTGGAGTTCGATCACTCGCTATGACCTGCGCTGACCTCCAGGGGGCGGCATGGAATGAAGGAAGGCCCCAATCGGCCCTGATCGCAGGCTAGGCCTAGAGACCCTACCCTTGCATAAATTTTGTGCACCGGGCCTCTAGTTTTTCAGTAAGATTCCAAAAGGATAGAAAATCAATTAAAATGACATAGTCTAACTAGGTAGGTACATTCTTTGGATATTAGGCATGAATCTCAAGAATCAAAGTCAATTGAGTCAATAAAATAGGAAATTTGATTCCAAGTCTAATTCACAAACTGTTTATTTCTTGCATGAATAAAATAATTTGATAATAGCTATTAATTCAAATATTAGAAAGCACAGGTAAAGATCATTTTATAGTAAAATTTAAAGTCTGTAAGCATTCATTATACAAATGTATAATGTACAACTATAGTCATTGTTTAAATTATCTATTTGTTCCTTCAAGCTCCTGCAGATTTAAAAAATAAATCTGTGTCATCAAAATAGATTTGTATCTGGAGGCCCTGAAATGATTACAAAATCATGATAAAAGTACACAATGAAAATAGCAAAAATATTGTGTTTTATATATTTTTTTCTCTTACTTGATAGTTATTACACTAAAGTGAAATGTAGTTTTCACAACCCAGCTTTAAGTAAACACACACACACACACACACACACACACACACAAAACCGTTCTGATTCACATAGCCAGCTAAAACATCCTTAAACATGCAAGCACTTGAATATTTTGCAAGACATTTTTAGGAACACTAAGAATTCCAATATACCAGTTACTTCAGAAACAAAATTAAACATTTATCTCACTCTTTAAAGCTCCATAACAAGGCAAAACAGAGATATCAAATGCAAATGAATAGTATTTCAAAATATGTTTCTATCAGTCCTTGGGGTAAACAAACAAAAATATGACATGTTAAAAACTCTTAAGGTCTACTGTTTATTCATCATTACTCAGAGTTTTCTCACTCACATTTTCCATGTGCATGGCAAATTTCCAAGCCAAAGGGTAATGAAAAAACATTAGGACTTAGACCAAAGTTTGCCATATTTAGAATTAGTTGTCTTTCTTTTTTTGACATGCCACTATAAGATTTAGGTCTCTTGCATATCAGCAATAAATATGAAACACTGGTTCCCAGTTTGGCTCATCCTTCAGAAAAGTATTACAGTCAAGTCCACAGGAGAAAACATTTTCAGTTTGAGAGGAAACCACATGCACCAGCTGTCTACCACTACTGGTGGTTTCCTGGAAGTAAACAATCTAAACGCAACAATCACGTGTAACATGTCTGGGTCAAAGTTGTGTTACGCTGGCCTTAAAAGAGTTGCCTTACTAAGTTTTCAAAAAACTTCAAAACTTTAAAAATTCTGCATGAAGTAGGACAAAGCTCTTTACTATACATTGTAATCTAACACTAGGTTGAAGAAGTTGACCAAGTTTAAGTAATCCAAGAGGAACTGTTTCCTGTTTTCAGTTAGAATGTCTACAATGACCTATAGTAACCTCTGAGGCAGAGGTTACCTGGGGGTATTAGATGCTACTGTCTGAAAGTCAATTGGGTTCATTCTTTCTCATTCATATTTTCTCTCTCTCTCTCTCTCTCTCTCTCTCAGCACTAACCTCAAGTGTTTGTAAGAATTCATCCCTGTTCTCTCATTGTGTATAAAGGCAAGAAAAACCACAAGAAGAGTTGGAAAATGTACCTCAGGCCAACTACATAGCTCCCTCTTCACCTCAATAAAAGGTCTGTGTCACAGAAAACGTCTAAGTTATCACCCAATTCACCCTCTATCCAACAAATGTGCCTGTGAAGGGAACATCTCGGGGAAGGCACAATGACTCTTTCTAAGAGAACCAAAGGTTTATTTGACATTGGTTTATTTTAGCATCACTTTACCGAGTCTGCTCCTGTAAGATGAGATGAGGCTCCACGAAGAACTTGACTCTCAGTTTAAGCCGGTAAGGGGCTAGCCCATCCATCTGCTGGGAGATCCGGTTTCTCAGATTTAGCCATAAACTTTCACCTTTGCTACCCGTAAACTGCAGTCCAAAATAATCAACTTCTATAATTCCCAACCGCCTGCACACCTAAAACAAAAATGAATGCAGCATGGATGAGCACATGGTCCACGTAGTCAAAGCAAACCTAAGGACTCTGTGTGAGTCTAAGATTCCTGCCCATTTCTTACAGAGTTCAACAGTGTTACAATTTCTGTTGTAAACTGGGAGAACAAAGTTCTTAGGCTCCAGTAGTGCTAAGCCACACTAGGCGAAGTAGAGAGGCTTATCCTTCCTTTAATACCTATGATATGGCCAATGGCAGTGAAGAAAAACGAGTCCTCAAAAGTAGCCTTTCAGAAAAGCTGAGGATGACCATTTTCCTTCTTATTCCAATCATCAGAATTCCCTTCACCAGCAGAACAGACACAGCTGATTTGGCAGCTGAGTATCTGGGCAATTTTAACCATCTGGACTCAAAAGAAAAAAAAAATGAGGAAACACGCCACAAGTGTCACTAAGCTTTACAAGAGGTTTCCCAAACATCTCAGGTCTGGGAGGTTTCGGGGCACAGTGTTTCACTTGAGATCAAATCTGCTTTCTGCCACACCAGTATCCACTGCTTGGAACCATTCCTCACTCTTACGGAAGCGCCGCGTGCTTCCAGACAACTGCGGAGTAGACGACCAAAGCCTACGGTCCTCGAATCCCCAGCAAATCCCGAGATGCAGGTGAATGGTCCATTTGAGAAGCAGCAAGACACAAGTGCCCGGCTTGTCTGCCAGGCAATCCGGGACCTGAGACCTCATCTTGAGACGCAGGTGTCATTGCCAGGCCCCGCGGGGGACCAAACAAGCGGCATCATGCACACACCTGCGGCAGGTGAGCTGGCCCGCCTTCTTCTGGGAAAGTGCCGACCTGGGGGACTGGGGGGGGGGGGGG